GGGAGGAGGGAGGAGGGCGGAGGAGGAGGGAGGAGGGAGGAGGGAGGAGGGGAGGGAGGCGGGAGGAGGAGGAGAGAGAGGGAGGAGGGAGGAGGGAGGAGGGAGGAGGGAGGAGGGAGGAGGCTGGCTGGTGGCCACTGTGGGCATCCTTTGAGGGCTGCAGGGACAGCACCCCAAGGGCAGCCGGGAGGTGAACCAGCCGCGGCCTGACCTCAGTCGGCTCCCACATCCGCGCACAGGGGACAACAGCTCCAGTGGAAGGAGGGGCCCCCCCACCTCCCTGGCGATCTCCAGGGATAGCAGGGGAGGAGGGCACCCCACCTTGCACCAGGGGTTTCCCGAGCGAGCGCATGTGAGTGCGGACAGGGAGCTGTAAAAGGGATCTGCCCTGGGGTCAACCATCCAGTCCTTGCAAGGCATACCGCAGTCTGCCAGCGTGGGTGGTGGAGACCATCCAGATCCGCTCCCAGCCCCCGCCCCCGACCCACCTCCACGGCCTCAGTCCTACCTGATCCCCTTGGGGCCAGGGCGCACTGAGCAGCCGGAGACGGCAGGGCGAGGGCGAAGGCGGCTGAGTCTGGACGGAGGAGTGGACGGGGAGCCCTGGAAATTTCTTCGCTCCCAGCACCCACCAGGTGGGAGTGCCCCGCACCCCCTGAGATGGGGAGGGGCTAGGAAGATCTGGGGATCCTCAACGCACTCTTCCCTTCCAGACAATACGGAGGGAGGGGGGGCGCAAGGACGACAGGGGAGGGAGGGAAAGGGGGGGGGGGACGGACAGAAGAGGGCAGAACCCCGAACCAAGCCCCCCCCCGGAGCCGAGACGCAGTTTTCCCTGCCGCACCCCGTCGTGGCAACGAGAGTGTCCCCCAGGGACCACCGCCCCAGGAAACCAACACAGCGCAGCAGGGGGGAGGGAGGACAAAGACGAAGACGGGGACGAGGAGGAAGAGAGCAAGGAAAGCAGGAGCAGGGACGAGAGGGGAAAGAGAGAGGAGGAAACAGAGACGGAGGGCGGAGGAGAGGGCGGGGAAGAGACAGGGCGGCAAAGGGGGGGGGTCAGGAGAGCACGGAGAGCAGAAGCAGGAGCAATTAGACGCCTCCAAGGAGTGGCGCCACACAGCCCCGCCTGCACAAGTAGGAGGCAAGGCAAGACGACCCAGACCCACCAGGGGGCCAAGCACGCCAGATCCCCAGCAGCGTCCGTCCGTGGCGACAGGGAGGCCCCCAGGACACAAACAACCGGAGGACAAGAGCGAGCCAACGCGACAGGGCCGACCGCTCCGGAGCTCCGGAGACAGGCAGCAGCTCCAGCTGCGTCCAGCCGTGGCGACAAGGAGGCACAAGAAGGCCAACAGCCCACAGGCCGAAAGAGACAAACGCCCCGCCCGACAAGTACCCCAGAAAAACTCTTCCGAGGTGCGTCGCCTTGCAGCCCTGCCTTCAAAGGCAGGAGGGCGCGTGCTGAGGAAGCCTCAGAGGTCTCCTTCACACAGCTTCGCTCAGGGAGGGGAGGAGGGACAGCGCTAGGATGCCCTGGGGTCATCTTCGCACAGTCCTCATCTGCCTCTAGGACCCGGGGGGAGAGAGAGAGAGAGAGAGAGAGAGAGAGAGAGAGAGAGAAAAAAAAAGAGAGAGAGAGAGAGAAAGAGAGAGAGACGACCAGGAGGGAGCGAGGGAGGGAGGGAGAGCGGATCGAAACACTCCATCCCCGCTCCAAAAAAGGGTCCTTTAGCGGGCCAGGAGGCGCTCCCCCGGCCCCCCGAGCAGTCACCCGCGCCCAGCGGCCACCGAGGCGGGCCTTCCCGGGCCTCCTGGGCAGTTTTCGCAATACCAAACGGGGGCCCGTTTGGTACCAGAAAAACTGCCCGGAGAGCCCCGGCAGTGCCAAGCCGCGCCTGGCGGCGACAGCGTCGGGCCCAGCAGCCCCCCCAGGCGGTTTGTCCCGTACCAAACAGGGGCCTGTTTAGTATCTCACAAACTGCCCTGGGGCAGGAGGCAAGGGCTGGCCTGGGCTGTCCTGGGCTGGCCTCACTGGACCGGGCTGGCCTCGGCTGGCCCGGACTGGTCGCGGCTGGCACAGGCTGGCCTGGGCTGGTCGGGGTTGGCCTGAGCTGGCCTGGGCTGGCCTGGGCTGGCCTGGGCTGGCCTCGACTGGCCCAGGCTGGCCTCGGCTGGCCCGGACTGGTCGCGGCTGGCACAGGCTGGCCTGGGCTGGTCGGGGTTGGCCTGAGCTGGCCTGGGTGAGGACACGCAAGCAGCCGTAGAGATGAAAGACGCGCTGACTTAAAACATCAGCGGCGGTATGCTCTGATGCATGCGCAATCAAGAAACGGGAAGCTGCGCGCCACAGGAGGAAGAGGAGTTGGTGGGTGAGCGGGGAAGATGATGGGAAAGGGAGAGGGAGGGCGGGCGGAGGGGAGGGGCCTCCGCCGGCGCCCCCGCTCGGCGCCGCCAGCCCCTCGGGCGATCACGGCGCGAAGCGGGCCCTGTCCCCGGC